AAAAGCAACAGATTGATCATTACTGATTCAGAAAAGGAAGACGAAAACGAAAACGAGAACTGACCATCTTGGAACTGAAACTGAGAACCCTAAACTCGTCTAAGGAGAAGGACAAAGAGACAGTTCAAGAGAGAAGCTGAAAGTTGATCCCTTTCTCTCTCTAAAACTCTCCCTTCAGAAATAGAGACGATTTGGAAGGGGATAATTTCAGCCTTCCAGGTGATTTTGCAGAACACGGTCTGAGCAGATTGTCCTTGAGGGATTTTTTTTTTTTTTTTTTAATTACCATTTTTATTTATTTAGTTTAAGTTAAACGGCGTCGTTGTGCTCTGGAAGATATCCAAAAACCCCAGTGGAAAAGTTCGTTCCTTTCTCTCTGTAAAATCCAAAACCCTAACTTCAAGATTCAGCTTCGATTCGGGTTTCTGGGTTTCCTAACAGTTCCAAATGAGACGAACCATAGGAAGATCCTTGCAAATTTCCAGCAATCACTACAACGGATCGCTGACCCAAACCCCTTTTCTACTCCAATCATCATCCCCCTTCTCCACTTCCGGCAGTGGACGTGGCCGAGGTGGCGGCGTTCCCCCAGCTCCTCCCCAGTTTGATTTTGTTCGACCCGAATCAGATGAGTCGGGGCAAGGCTCGCCGCAGCCAACCCAAGTTGGACTTGGTCACGGCCGTGGTAGGCCGTCTGACGCAGTTCTTCCATCTTTTTCTTCCTTTGTTTCCCCCGTTAGACAGTCTCAAATTGGGTCTGGTCGTGGCCGGGTTGCCAGCGAATCATCTGCTGCTGATGAGTCGTCATCACTTGGGCAATCCAAGCAACCTATTTTCATCCCGAAAAAGGATGTGGATGGTTTTGATTCCGCCATTGAATCAGCGGCGAAGCCGAAACCCACTCAGTCGAGTGAAACTAATCTCCCTTCTAGCATACTCTCAGTTTTACCCGGAGCTGGACGAGGGAAACCTTTGAAGCAGCCTATTCCTGCAGCGCAAGTCAACGAAGAAAACCGTCATATTCGGGTCCGGCAGCAGCCTTCCAGGTCTGCACCTGCCGCAGACCCATCCCCAGCTCAGCCTAAGTTGAGCCAGGAAGAAGCTGTGAAGAAGGCAATGGGAATCCTTTCGCGTGGAGGTGATGGCGAGGATGCTGGTGGGATGGTGAGAGCAAGAGCGGAAGGGGGTAGAGGAAGGGGAATGGGAAGGGCAAGGGGAAGAGGGAGGGGACGGGGGAGAGGAGATAGACGAATGGTAGTGGACAGAAGCAATGTTAAGTACTCTGAGGAAGCAGACGATTCATATGCCGGTGACGAAGCAGATGAAGAAAAGCTGATACAAGAGATTGGACTTGAGAACGTGAACAGCATTGTTGATGGGTTTTTGGATGCAAGCAGTAGGGTCGTGCATCCGCCTTTGGACGATGCTTATTTGGACGCCTTCCACACTAATTGCCTGGTAAGTGTTTCATTATCTCTTTTTCATCGTTTGTTCTAGGATTGAATGATGCAAAGTTTATTTTTCTCTTGTTTTCTTTTCCTTTTTCTTTTCATAAAAAGTTTGTTTTCCTTTCATTTAAAGGCCTTAACAGCAAAATGCATCATTTCTGTCATTCAAATGTCTTCAGGTTGTATGTCGTTTTTACTAAGATGTTTTCTTGCTACCTTGCTATTCTATGTATAGCTTATGAAGTTGATGGAGTGAATCATTAATTTGTTATTGAGAATGGTTGGGCTCTGTAGGTGTTTGCCATTTGATAATTGGATTTTCCTTTGGCATGTTCTTAACGGATAGAATGAAAATCTGTTTTCAGTTCTGCATGAGTCAGCCTTTTGGCTGAAAATTCTATTATCTTTTAGTCAGCATATCGAGCTGTTTTGAGAAAGTTGTTTAAGTCATTAGCAGTGTGTTTGATGGTGGATTGCTGGATAGAATAAAATTTGCATATTTGGTTATTTAAAGTAATTTTTTCCTCATTCATGTGTAATGCAAAATTTCTGCTGACAGGAAGAAAAAATAAAGTAAATTTTTTTAATGAAAAGTAATAAAAGAAACTCATTTTCACTCAAAAAGAGGTGGGTCAAGAGATCTTAACTAGATGACACATACCTGACCATTTGGCTTGATTTGGCTTACGTTGAGTTTAACTTATAATATGGTTTTGAAGGTATTGTAGGTATTGTATGATCAAAGTTTTTTTTTTCCCCTCATATTTTGAGTTTAGCTGGGGTTGGGGGTCTAGTTGATCAGTTTGTTGAGGTCTTGGTCTTATGGCTTGCAGATTGAGTGTGAGCCAGAGTTTTTGATGGGAGATTTTGGCACAAACCCAGATATTGATGATAAACCGCCAATTCCTCTTCATGATGCACTTGAGAAGGCAAAGCCCTTCCTGATGGCATATGAAGGAATTCAAAGTCAAGAAGAATGGGAGGTATATGCTGTTGCTTTTGAAATGTGGTTAATAGATTTTATCCTTGAAGTTGATTTTTTTATATTCCTATCACTTTGAACAGTGTTTGGTGTGTCTTTTCTTGAATATCCATCTTTTGCTGCAAATATGCAAGAGTTTAAATGCTCCATTTATGCTAGTTATTCCAGCGAAGATAAGAAAAAGAAAGAGAAAACTGCAGGCTTCATGTATCTTGTGGGACAGTTCTCTTGTAGTGCTGGCTAAATGCACAGGGTAGAAGAAATTAATTATAATAAAAAATAAAATAAAAAAATGAAAAAACAACCAATGGGAAAAGTTGTATCAAAAACCTGCAAAGTATGCGCAGAATGCTATTGAAATAATTGGGATATTCTGACTTGTGTAAAATTAGGAAGACTATTTTATTTAATTAAAATCTCAATTTCTGTTAGCTGACATAATGGCATGATTCTTCTTTTGTGCCTTTTCTACTTATCAAATCTTGCCTCATACTGGTGAGACTTCTCAGTGTGGCTGTCAACACTCTATTTAATTACATGATACAACAGAGATCCCATTAACAATGTAATGAGCAAGGAGCCGCTGTATCCAATCAAGTTGAACTACAACTGAACACTCAAATGAGTTAAACATTTATTCTGAACCATTTTAGAATTGGTATTATGGATTTCCTTTTCCAATAAAAATTTTAGTAATATCACTTGGGTTTAGAAGTTGTTTGGTGTTTGCTATTGTTGAACATTTGGTTTTCAGGAAGCCGTCAAAGAAGCGATGGAGAGGGTCCCTTTATGGGAAAAGGTTATTGATCAGTACTGTGGACCTGATAGGATTACAGCAAAGAAACAGCAAGAGGAACTAGAAAGAATTGCAAAAACTATTCCTAACAGTGTGCCCACCTCTGTGAAGCAATTTGCTAATCATGCAGTTCTTTCCCTGCAGGTCAGTATTCACTCTCTCAATCTTGGAATTGCTTCATATACTGGTAAAATTGTGATGGTCTGAAATGCTTACTATCTCCTGTTAACATTACAATGCAGAGCAACCCCGGTTGGGGATTTGACAAGAAATTCCAATTCATGGATAAGCTTGCCCGGGAAGTCTCTCAACAACACAGTTGAAGTTGGAAGGCTTGTTTCTGATGATGATGTCATGATTACTGAGATCTTTTTCTGGAATCGATATATGTTGATTCAATCTTCATTTTGAAAAATAATCTTATATGCAAAATGTTTTTCAAAAAAAATTTGGAGCTGTGTCCCATAATTGACTGTTGGAATAAACTCCTTAAGCAGGTCTCAGCAAATCACCATCTTTTATTAGAAAACGATCATATGTTTGATATTTATAGTATGGGTTTAGCAAACAGCAACCACAAAAGAATACATAAAAAGATGTTAAGCTTAACTATATCATGAGAGAGGAGACTTTGTATGGAATGAACTTTCTCATTGTCATTGGTGGCAAACTCTGGTTATGTACATATCACTGGAGGTTCTTTTGAACAAACCCTAATGCATAAAGAAGCATGGAAAGCAGCTTCAATGTTGTTTACAAGGAAGTCAATCTAAATCTAAGTATCATTTGACCCGTGTTGCCAAAGGTAAATTATAATACCATCGCTCCAACAAGAACTTACTCAAATGGAAATCCTCTTGGTCTATCAGAAAGCATGAAAATTAGCAACATGAAAATTAACACTTTAATTTCATGCTATCTAGGAATCAATATCCAAAACACAAGTATTTCTATCTGTTGTGAACATGACCATAGGAGACAGGTGTTCATGACTACAACTGCAAAAGGACATGGCAAGAAGTGATCTGCGTCCTTATAGTCCTTTGTATTTGTTGTGGCTTGTGTGAGTACGTAGCATAACATCAAACAAAGATGCTTCTGTCTGCAATTTTAGCAGCACTCTGATGGTTGCCATCCACCCGTTTATCTGCAGAACAAGTTATAAAGACTCCTGCATTACCAAGGTGAAATCATTAGTCACCCCATTCTCCTGAGCAGATAGAGTTTTCGTTGAAAAAAACATAGACTCAAAAACAAACACGTAATCTCTTAATTGCGATCACTCTGATTTATGAATCTCGTAACTAATAACTAAATTCATTTCTTTCTTGTGACTTACCATATGGATACTTTTGAAGGAAAATCAGTAGTGATCATGGGAAACAAACAAGAAACCACACAGCAGAAATCAAATCTGCAATAACAAATAATAGTAAATGAGTACAAAAACATCAAAAGTGAAACAAAAAGCTTGAAGACAAAGTCCCAAGTAGAGAATCTCAAACAACCTCAGATTCCTTTTTCAAGACTGAAACCTCAGGTTCTTCATAACATTGAATACGAGATGCAAAATTGTTTGGTTGGTGCCTGCAAAGTTGCAACCATAAAATGCATGAGTATTGTATATTCTTATGCAACCTCTACTTCACGACAACACATCAAAAACTTTTAAAAGGTGCTTAGCCAACAAGAATCAAATAAACTTAATTTTTTATGGTGACATACCTACATTGGGATCCCTCTTTTCAACGACCGAGGGTTGTGATAATTTGAAAAAACACTGTTATGCACAAACAAAACAAGAGACAACATACTGGAATCAAACCCACACCACTGCTGAAACGACCTGAGCAATAATTAAACAGATATCTTAGGAGATGAAAATACCAATAATTAAACAGCCATCTTAGGAGATGAAAATCTAAAAGTAGCAATGCAGAAAAAGCAAATGCATTTACAATGAATTTTAAGATCATAAATTTTTTTATTCATGGTCTAAGCTTAGAATCAATTTGTGCTGAAATATACCTTGCAGGAAATGCAGGCAAACTTATGCCAATTTGGCTCAAATCAAATGACATGTCCTTACAGAGGGACCTTAAACATCATCCAAGTCAATCCCGTGAATTGGTCGGTTTTCAAAGAATTAGTAGAGCAATTAAGAAATGACATTGAATATCCTCCCAAATCTGAACTAATTAAAACTGATCCCCTCGTAGAAAAGACTGCATGATCCAAATTTCCAAGTGGGTAAGATTAATTTGTTTTATCATATTAAGACATACTCAAATGCAGAACCAAAATCCTTAAATGTTAAACCCATAGAAAATTCAAGTAAGCATACCAGAATTGTCTTTGGCTTGGCAAACACTGCTGCTTTCCTTCCTCTCCTCCTGCCATGCCATCTTTGGAATATCAGATGAAATTTCAAAAAGCAAGAAGTGCAGCAGTTCACTTACATGTTGAAGCAAAATTCTGCTTGTCCTCACACTCCTCAAATGTGTAAGATGAGTTAAATTGATCAAGTGAAAAGCGATGAATTAATTACCTCAACGTTGAAGCTTGTAGAATTTCAACCCAGAATTCTAGAAATCATCACTCCATCAACTCATTGATCATTCACTCGTAATTAACCACATCTACGTACAGTATAAGAATATGAATCAAAAGTGAGAAAAAAGAAAACATGAATTTATATGAGAAAGAAGAAATAATTTTGATGGGATAACATAATTGGCGGCACCCAACAGCAATGAGGGAGCAGCATCAATCAAGTTAATTGATAGAGGATGAGGAGAGAGATTTTGCTTTTTGGTGTTGGAATTCGTATAAGTGCAGTTGTGAGAAAAAAAGAGAAGACAAACCTCTTTGCCTCAGTGTTTGTCTTGGATGATCTCCCCATTTATTACGATGCATGGAATGTGAGAAATCTTGTGCCAGTCAGGACCGCTTCCCTCGGTGCATCTTTCCTTTAACTTGTTTGGGCAGTTCGAAATACGAAGTTGTCGAAGGGAGGACAAGTTGTTAAACCAGTCTGGCAAAGATTCCATTCCACCGAAGTCCCTTATACTCAACTCCTTTAGAGCAGTGAGGTGTTGAATTTGTGGGAGGTGAGTTAGTTTCTTCCATCCGTGCAGAAGCAACTCTTCAAGGGAGGCGGGGATGGAACTCAGACTTGGGAATTCTTCCAGCTCTTCTGAGAAGCGGCCGATCTGTAATCTCTTCAACCTAGTATAGCAGCCGAGACTCTCCTTTAGCAAGCCCACCAATTTCGGACAACCTAAAACGGTTAGAGAATGCAATTCCTTCAACTCTCCGTGAAAAGAGACCAGATTAGGGCAATAATAATAAGTGAGTCTCTCAAGAGATAACAGCCCAGTTGATAGACGCCTTAACCCAGTACAACCCTTAATTCTAAGTGTTTTAAGAAAAGATAGGTTTCCCGATAATGCTTCTTCCACTCCATTGAAGCTTTCGATAGTTAAGTGCCTGAGAGTAATGAGGCGTTGAATTTGATGTGGCAGAGTTACATTTCCCCATCCAGCCAAACACAAGACTTCAAGGGAGGTTGGAGTGGAAGTGGAAGTGGAACTCAAATTTGGGAATTCCTCCAGCTCTTCTGAGAGAGGGCCAAGCCTTAATGTCTTCAAGCTGGCAAGGGAGCTCAAGATCTCCTCTGGGAAGCTCCTCAATTTTCGACATTCCCGAATATCCAACTCAACAAGAGATCGTAACTGTTTCAATTCTTCAGGAATAGAAACTAAATTACAGCAATTCCATATCGTCAATTCCTCCAGAGCAGTGCAGGATGAGAGTCCACTAGGTAGACACTCTAATCCATCACAATCATTCAACTTTACTATTTTCAGAGAGACAAGTCCTTCTAGACTTGGAACAAACTTCAATTCAGGACACTCTAGCAGACATAATTGTTTGAGACACGTAGAGCTTAATAGGCTATCTCCTATGCTACTTATCACCTTGCAATGCCAAATCTGGAGTGCCTCTAGAGATGATAATCCACTAACCAAAAATCTTTCTAACTTATTACACTTAGTTATGGATAAGTTTTTGAGGGAAATCAATGTAAGTGCTCCATCACTATCACCCACACTAGTCATTTCATCACAACATTGAATAAAGAGCCGCCCAAGAGATGATAATCCACTAACCGGACAACTTTTCAACTTACCACACTGATATATGTGTAATTCTTTGAGAGACAACGATGTAAGTACTGCTCCATCACCATCACCCAAACTAGTTAATTCATTACACCAAACAACAGAAAGCTGCTGAAGAGAAGAAAACCCACTAATACCTGGAATTCTGTATAGCATCCCGCAATCGCTAATTCTCAGTGCCACCAAATTGTTGAGTGACAACAATTCTTTACTGCTCTTCAACATCCATGATGCCAAGTTTCTACCTCCATAGCCTTCAATACTCAATCTTCTTATATTTGAGTGAGGCCGGAGGCCTTCCAGAACATCTTCATCTAATATATCACGATTGCCTTCTTTTCTCCAACATAATTGCAACACATCAACTGCCTTCTCATGTAATTTAGCTTTCTCGGCTTCCGATTTGCCTTCAACAAGATCAAGCTTACGGATCCCTAGTCCTCCTTTGAGTCCTCTTAAGCTTCCCAGTTCTTCAATTTTACATCCCTTTGTTGTACTTACAAAAAACAATGGCAATGTTTGTAATTTGGTTAGTCTCCCAAGGTTTGCAGGCATACGCTCTTCATCATTGAAATAAATATGCCTCAAGTTGATTAAATCTCCTATTCCTCCTGTAGGCATTTTAAGAGATTTGCAGTTTGCGAATCGAAATGTTTGCAAATTGTATAGCTTGGTGATGAACTTGGGCAGTTCTCCTATTTGAGTTCCTGAAATGTCCAAGTACCTCAAGCTCTTCGAGTTGCCAAAGCATGTTGGCAATTGTTTTGCATCAGAAGCATCATCAAGGTTGAGAGCCCGCAACCTTTTAAGATCCACTTGCACATCACTAAAAACACCATGCTTGGAAAACAATGTCTGCAACTTTTCAGCAACATCTCCTAAAATTGTTGGCACCATTTCCCTCCCACCAATTAGATTCAAATGCCTAACATGATGAGAAATATGACTACCGGGCTGCTCCTCAACAATCAAC